GACCTGTAAGAAAGAGATCGTGCATTTTCCTCTCCCAGACACCCTAAAGGATCTGGTTAAATGTCTCAGGCCTCCTTTTATGCGTCCATTTCATATCTCATCACCAACTGCACTAACTCCCCATGTCCCCTTCCAGAGGACCAGTGATCTTCACCAACAGTGGTCATCCACCAAGCACAAACTACCTTCGAGGTCTACTCAATTTTTTTAAGCTCTCAGTTTAAAGAATGGTCTTTGGGGGACTTCTATTTCTTCCCTTTCCTAGAACTTCTTGGCTCCAAACAGCCTGTCCTCAGTTCTTATTTTCTGGCAAAAGGAGCTATAACATACACAAGGAAGACATAAAAACTCTGCAATTGCTCCCACTTTTAAACATACATCCAACAGAAGCATGCCCATATATCCACCAAAAGCTGTAGATGGTCAGGCAACAATGATAAAAGCATGTTATTTCTAATCAACTTAAACTGGGAAAAACACCCAAATGCCCATCAACAGAAGGATGAGTAAACAGTGGTCTAGTCATCCAGCAGTGCTCTATTCAGCTATAAGTCAACTCTCACTGCTCACAACATAATGTTTGGCTACCTCTCACAAACACAGTGTTCAGGAGAGGAGCCAGACACAAGAGCAAGCATGGTGTGATTCCAGTGATACCAAGCTCAAAAATTGGAAAACAGGAATTGTGGTGTTGTAGGTGGTCATGACTGGAATGGAGCACAAAGATTGGCAGATCATGTTCTGGTTTTGAACTGAGTATTGTTAATTCAAAGTGCCCTTGTGTTGCAGTGATCAAATACTTAACTGCTAACTGAAAGATTTAAATCTACAAACAAACTACTCTGTGGGGAAAAAAATGACACTCTCTGCCTTTGGAATCGTTATGGGACAGATCTGTGCTGCCCTGTAGGGTCACTATGAGTAAGAATTGACTCAGTGGAGCTGGAATAGACCATTAACTCCTGAAAGTGTACTACTTATGCATTCTTCCATAGTGTTATTTTGTTGGTATTGTAAAACAAATATATATTACATGTTTCTGACTTTTAGACCTGACATCTGTGCTTCATGGTGGTGGCAAGGATGGCCATGAAGCACCATGCTGTGCTGGGTGGCCTCCAGAATGAGCAGGAAGCTGAAACGAACTTTGGGGATCCAGGCAGAAGCACAGTCTATACCTGTGTTTATGGTGCCCTGAAACTTCACGTTAACATCTAAATCATGTGGCTTCACCACAGTAACCATAGGCTGCTTAAATGGATAGTTTTAATTCCACTGAGGACAATGTCATGTGCCAATATGGCCATGTTCTGAAGGATAATGCAACTATTCTGTGTATGGTGGCCTACTGACAAGAAGCTGTGTTGCCATCCCTAAGGCATGGGGTTCAAGGCCACCAGCTGCTCCGCTGGAGAAGGATGACCAAACTCTTCCCATTCGAGTAACTCTTCTGAAAACCCTCCAGAGGGTCAGCTATGGGTCAGTTCCAACTCTACAGTATAAAACAACATGTTAATAAAACAACACTAAAATCAGCCTGACCTATTAATGAGAAGTCTCCTCCGAGTTATGGCCCGCACCAAATGGCAAAGCTAGGGAGCTTTTTGTTGATGCTACATCAGGCTATCTGACCTGTGGCCTCCAAACCTGAACCAGATTCATCAGCCTTCAAACTCAGTAGTTTTCCAACCTGTTCCCTGATGAGAACTTTTGGACTCCTCCGCCCCTGGAGCTAGCAGTCTCCAGAGTCAGCAGTCTGAGACTCTGCCTGCCTGCCTGGTGACGTGAGTTCCTTAGCTGCCCCAACACGCTTCTTGCCTCTTGAGGTCTAACTCACAAAATTGGGCCTCTACAAACTGTGAACGATTTCCTCAAAATTTCTCTCTCTTTTATTCCCCCATCTATATATATATATACATATATCCTTGAAAAATCTCTGTGTGTGTGTGTGTGTGTGTGTGTGTGTTCCCCTATATAAGGCTTATTGGTTTTGCTTCTCTAGAGAGTCCAGTCTAAGAAAAGCATTATACATAAAGGGACCCCGGCAAGGAGCTATGTTATAACTCAGGTAACTCTACGGCCTATACTAAAATTTGTTGATGGAGGTCATATAAATCACATCATTTTCTGGACAAATCTGAGCCCTAATGCTGGTGGAGAACCCAAAGGGGAATTGGTAACCGCTGCAAACATGATCGTTACTGCTTTGCTAAGATTAAGAAGCAGTTTGAAGCTGTAGCCATTATTTGAAGTTCAAGCTGAGCTTTGCTTGGTTTCAGTAAAGAATGGGAACACTTACAAATTGCTGCTTGTTCTAATCAGAACCCACTGCAAAGAACAAGTCCTAAGCCACTTCCAAGGACTGATTTGTGGGAGCCCACTTGTTACATTTTTAAGAGAATGCTGTTTTCTCTCCAAATTTCTTCTCTTACTTACTATCTTTAGTATGAAAATTTCAGACTGGATGTCGTGGCGTAGACCAGAGAGTTGGACCACTAACTGAAAGGCTACACCTCTCTGGTCATTAGAATCCACCATCTACTCCTCAGGAGAAAGACGGACAATCTCTCTGTTTCTCATTGTTTCTCATTATCAGACATCTTTAATGATCCCTCAAGCCAACGTCCTCTATTCAAAGGCATGCATAAAACTCTGTGTACACTAAAACTCCTATAAGGTTCTGGACAGTTAATTAATTGTTAATTAAATAAATATTTCTTTTTCTACTGTAAATGTGGTATGCCTGTTAAAAGGACCTATTGATCATCAAATATTATTATGTATATTTATAAAATATCACATTTGCCAATTTGATGTTTTTTCACGTGTATAGGTTAGCGATGGCAAAAACATTAATGGAGTCCTAAAGTCATCACCAATATCCAATGCCAAACTGACAGCTGTGTTATTCTTCAACAAAAACTTACACTAGAAAATGAGTCTACAGGAAGAGAAAATTATTTTTTCACTTTTAATATGTATTATAAAATTTCCATGACATTCTTTTTCTAGAGAAATTGTGCTCTTCCATGGAATGGACTCTTTAGATGGACCTCTGGAATAGAAATAAATATGAGAGTTTATTGACATAACTTCAGGGAGCCATTTTATATGTTATTTTAAAATTTAAAACAAGAATCTTTAATTTCTTTGTATGAAATCCCTTAAAATGCATGGCTAAATTCTCAAAAGCACATTCTGCAAGTATATTGTAACCTTCAAGTACGTTTTGGCTTTTTTTCTTTTTTTCCTGTGACCTTCCTTGATAATACTCTATTCTTCTTGCGTGAAGATGAAGCTACTGAATATGCACTGAAAATAGTCCAGAGGAATGTCCCCAACACGACGTCATCACGAGCGGGGTCCTCCTGGCTGATCTGGTGAGAATGAGCCTCTCTACTGGCCCACAGCAGACATGTTCATAACATAACACCGGAAACCAGTTGCCATGGAGCTGAGTTCAATTAGTGGTGACTCACTGTGAGTCACAGTGGAGTGTGCTCAGTGCTTGATTTCTCAGATATATGGTGTCTAATTTCCCAGGTGCAGATTTTAGACCTTTCTTTCCAGGAGCGTCTGGATGAATTTGAACCTCTCACCTTTCAGTTCATGGCCAAGTATGCTATTGACACTGCTCAAAAACGCCTTCGAAAAACAAGAACTTGCTTATTTCTTTATTCACAGTTCAATTTTGTACCTTTTCTGCATTATAAAAAAGAATTACATTACAAAATTTGTCACACACTTTAAAAAACCTTTAAAACAGAAACACATTAAACCTAAAAATGTCACAGCAAAAAAGGGACATCAAACACTCTTCTCTTTTAAAATATTTATTTCAAGTAGAAATCTACATAATGTGCTGCATAAATACTGAACTGCAACCAACCTCCTATTAGATAGCTACGTAAAAAACACTTTGTTGAATTATTCGATCATCAAAATATAAAAATTCAAAATAATTTTACTTTGTTGTTGTCGTTACATGCCATTGAGTCAGAACCAGCTCATAGCTGATTTTCAGAAGATTCTCAACAGATTTTCAGAAATCACCCAGGAGATTGTTCATCTTCCTCCCATGGAGCAGCTGGTGTATTTGAACCATCTGCCTTTGGGTTGGCAGTAAAGCTCCTTACCAGTAGGCCACCAGAGCTCTGAATTTTTAACACTGGGCACTTCAAATGAAAACGAGCTTATTCTATTCAAGTAACAAGCCTAAAGTACTCACTAACTAAAAAGAGTTAAATTCTCCTCCCTCTATTCATACACACAGCCCTTATGCAAAAGGTGTGTACATTTTCATCTAGAACTGTCCTCTAAAAATCCCTATCTTTTTATTTCTGTTACTCTTATAAAAACTGTTCAGGGGTTTCCTCTCCCCTCCCTCCACTATCATCATGAATCTCCCCTACCCCTAAAAGGCCTCTTAGACAATATCCTTGGACAAAATTGAAATCTTTCTTCCAAATCATGATTAGGTAGATTTGAACCACCAACCTATATTTAGATTAAAAGACACAAATACAAGCCATTTGTGTTACACAGGACCTGGTTATTAATCTGTTCTGTGCCCCTGAGTTAATCTGAACTCATAGCAACCTGATTTAATAGAGCAGAACCGTCCCATAGTTCCTGCAGGGTGAAATCATTGCAGGAACAGACTAGGTCTCAGGAGCAGCTAGCTGGTTCTAACCACTGCCTGCTCAGTTAGTAGTCAAGAGCTTAACCAGTCAGCTTCTAGAGATCTTTAGTTATTAATCGAAATGAAACACTTTGTAATTTGATCATCTGAGCACCAGTACTGAATGGGCTTTGAAAGTTGGCCCTACCTGATAACAATCCATGTTGACACAAACCTCTTTGTCTTGGTGTATGCCTGGGTGCACTAAAGCACAGTCAACAGGAGAAAGATAAGTAAACACCGAGTTCTTTTACTCCTGAGTGGAACTCAGACCAGAGACAATCAAAGTGGCCCCAGCACAAGAAAGCCAACAGAGGACTCACAGGGTGGTGGCTGGGGGAGCCCCAAGCGGTGAGCCCCAGCGCAGGGCTGGCTTGAGAGAGGGACCGGATTTACTTGGGCTTATCACTCCCTTTGGGACACTGTGGGGGAGCAAACTCTGCCCACAGAAGACGCTGTTCCCTTGGCATCTCCTTTCTTGGTTCATCAAGTGGTCCTTGCATTCGCCCCCTGGACCACTTCTTGCAGAACCTTCTGCCTGCTGGCACTGAAGGGCAGGGGCCTGGATCTCTTCCTCTCCATCTTCATCATCATCTGAGCCTGATTCATCATTATAGAAATGAATTGTAGCTTGCACTGGGAAACTGGCCAGCACCTTCTCCCCAGAACTCTGTAGATATTCTTGGCGTTTTGAGATGGGTAAATAAAGTCTAATAGTCAAGACACAACATATTAGGGGTTGATTAGACACTGTAATAAATTAATCAGTGGTAATTAATTTTGTAAAGCGAAATATTTATGGAAGATTGCATGAAAAATTAATAAATCTGCAGAATTTCACTCAAATTTTAAAAAAAGGAAAATGTACCATTCAAGTCAACTCATTTCCATCACATCTGAACAGACTCATAACTGACTTTCTGGTTGGTGTTTAAATTGCACAAGAGATAATTGCTTATCTTTCTCTTGCAGAACAGCTGGTGGATCCAGTGGGTAAGCAGTAGTACTGTCAAGCCACTAGGCCCTCAGAGCTCCCTAAATTCCACATGGAATACCATATACCTTCTCACAGGAGAAAGCTAGCCAATCTCCTCCAATGTGATTAACTGCTTCTGAAAACCCACTGGAGGGTTAGCTATGGGTCAATTCCATCTTGACACTACACAACAACCATATAGTGTTAGTGAATCTGAAACTAGCCTCCTTGGGAATCCTTTCTCCAAAAGCAGCTAACTTTCTAACTTTGTCCTTATTACACACAGAATATTTTTTTTCTTTTAAAATTACTAGTGCCTAAAGACACAAAGATGCAGAGATCTAGTAATAAATGCCACATCTACTTAGAAATGTACCATAATCTGGATTAGCAAATCAATTTGAATGAAAAAGAAAAGATATTGTAAAAATTGCATCAATAAAGGTAAAAGGAAACTGAGAATAATCCCCTGATTGATAGTGATCTCATGTACAAGGGCATGAAATGCTGCCCCGTCCAGCTCCTCCCTATGAATAGTGGTGGATTGGACCATTGTGATCCATAGCGTTTTCACTAGTGTATTTTTTAATGTACATGACCAGGCTGTTCTTCCTAATCCGTAATTCTCTGGAAACTCCACTGAAACGTGTTCAGTATTGCTGTTGTTGTTGTTGTTGTTAGGTGCTGTCAAGTCACTTGCGACTCATAGAGACCCTATGACCCTAAACCCTGCTCTATCCCTTGCCAATCTTATTGTCTCTGACACACCTATCCCCATTACCTCAGTGACGGAATCAATTCATCTCATCAAGGGTCTTTCTCTCTTGCACTGTCCCTCCACCCTCTCAATGATATCCCTCTCCAATGACCAATCTCTCGCAACATGTCCAAAGTATGTCAGACGAAGCTTCAGAATCCTTGCCTCCAAGGCGCAGCTGCACTTGCAGATGTCATGGATGACCTGAGTCTCCTGCTTGAAATATGAGACTCTACTACCGTAGGTGCCTCATTCTTCTTGGGCAATGGAAGCTATATTCACGAGGGGCCTTCCTTCCACTCTCCCACCCCGTCTCACTTATATAAATATGAGAAATACTGGAACCCTTTGGACTCTAGAATAAGCTTTACTCTAAAACCCTGATCTTGGGAGGCCATAAGGATGAATGACTCACTTGGCCAGAATAGAAACCTTAGTTAGGTGTAAAACCTTGCTGGGTTTTGGTTTTGTTTATTTAAAAAAAATAATAATAAGGAGAAGGGATACTTAAGTATGTAAAATTTCTAGCTAGATTCTAGATTTTTACCACCTTTTTGATTCTTATTATATACATAAATGTTTAAAATATCTCTCCTCCGCAGCTTTTCACCATAATATCTGATCCTTGTAATTTTCACTTCTAGTTTATTTGTATTTGTAGTCTCATGAGAAAGTGAAAAGGTATATTAATTGATTAACACTTATTTGCAAAGAGGCTTTAAATATCCTTTGGGGTTGTATAACAATGAAAGATATTTTTTTCTTTTCAAAGAGAAAAGTGAGCTGGGGGAGGGGTGGGCAGGGAGAAAAATGCAACAATGAATGAATGGAAATCCAAGTTCTCTATAATCTTTCATTAAAATGTCAATCAAAAAAGTAAAGAAAAAAAAGAAACAAACAAACAAAAATATCCTTCTAGGATGGGCATAGAAGGGAGAGAAAAATGCCTACTATAAATAACGTATGAAAGTATTTAACTTCCTAAGATTTCCTATGAAATCTTTCCAAGAGTCTAGTGGCTCTCTTTGGGAAGGAACGAAATCATGGCAAAAACTTTAAAGTGTCACACTGAACACAGTCAGTCAGTAACCCTGTAGGGTTGCATGTACATGAGCTTAGGAAATAAACATATACCTAAGAGTCAGTGGTTACAAGGTATGGTGTGTGTCAGCGGGGCTGCCTAGGGTTCTCTGATTGGGTGACTGTGATGTGGTCATTCCCTTGATAAGATTTTAATGGTGTGTAATCACTCCTTTCATAGGTTCTACTATGAGAATCCGATTTAGCTCTGGTGATGCAGCCTATCAGGGGGTTGTGTTGCTAACTAACCCAAAGGCCATGCCTCTGTGGCAGTTCAACCCCACCAGCGGCTTCACAGGAGAAATACAGGCAATCTCCTCCCTTGCAATTTACAACATCGGAAACTTGCTAGAGGGTCAGGCATGTCCAGACTCAACAGCAAGTAGTTGAGTGAATATGAGCAACCAATTGGTTGAAGGGAGCATATTGTTAAGAGGGGTCAGCCTTGGAAAGGACAGGGTCAGTGAAGGAGGGGAAGACTCTCAACCAGATGTATCGACACAGTGACTGTACCAGTGGGCTTGCATATATGAGAGATAATGAGAATGGCACAGGATAGGATGGGTTCAGCTCCATTGTTCCCAGGGTTGCTAGGAGTATTAGTTGACTTAACAGTACTTAACATAGCAGAGCGCACATGCTTTTTGCTGGCTTGGGCTCATGACCTCTTTGGTTCTTTGGCTTTGAACCAGAGGCTTGCCTCACCTGGTAACTTCGCAGCTCCTACTAACCTTGCATCAGCCTCTGCAACTGTGTGTCATAGATCTGACTCAGGTAAGCCAGATGCAAAACATAGTCTTTTCAGTTGCTTCTTATGCACCTGAACATTGGACAATGAATAAGGAATACTAAAGAAACATCTATCTTTGAATTGTAGCACTGGAAAAAATTACTGAATATAACATGGACTACCAAAAGAATAAATACATTTGTCTTGGAGGAAGTTCAACTAGGTACTCCTTAGAGGCAAGGACAGAGAAAACTTCATCTCACACACTTGAGGCATGTTGTCAGAAACGTCTAGTCCTTGGGAAAAGATATCATACTGGGAAATACAGAGGACTAGAGAAAGAGAGAAGACCTCCAACAAATAGATTGACTCGGTGACTGTACAATGGGCTTGAGCATGGCAGAGACTGACTGGGAGGATGGGGCATGCTAAGGCAAGGTTCAGATCTGTTGTACATAGAGTCACTATGGCTTATAGTTGATTTGAGGGCACCACACAACAAGTGTGTGTATGTGTGTATGTGTGATTTCCTATAGAAACATCTCTTTTTATAAACATATCTATACATATATCTATGTCTGTCTATTCATTCTTTGGTTTTATTTCTCTACAGAATCCAGCCTGAGAAATGAGGGTTGAGAGGGAGGAGGAAGAAGGTGATTTTCCTTTGGAAACAATGAGTTAATGTTGGTGGAACAACTTGGAAAATGAGAGTGAGATCTATTGTATGCCTTAAAGAAGATAATCAGTGACACTCATTCAAACATGTGGAAATTGTATTTTTTTTCCAAAATAAAAAGAGAAAAAATAGCAAGTATGTATAGCTTACTTTGTAAGATGTCTTGGATTTGCTTTAAAATACTCTAATAATAATTAAAAAATAAACTGGGAAAGAAATCAACAAGATCAAAAGAATGCTGACAATTATTAAAGCTGGTGATGAGTATGGTAATGAATATTTGAGGCTGGTAACAAATATGATATACTGTTCTCTTTTGGCATCAGTTTGAAATTTTCCATTAATAAAATAAAATTACATGTAAAATTATATTCCCCATTCATTTCTCTGTTGGACACACACACACACACACACACACACACACACACATACACACACACAAAATTATATACTCCATGACAATCTAAGATTACCTGAATGCAACTCACGTGGTTATCAAGTTCTCAACAAATCAAAATTGGGGAGCAGCATGTCAGGTGCCATGACAAGGCCAGGGGTAGGTGGTGCAAGTGAATAGATAGATACAGGGCATGAAGCAGGGTGGTGGCTTACAACCCTGGCTGCCCACCTTGGTCACATGAAGAGCCTTTACAATCCAGATGCTTGGATATCTGGTCTGTTTCCATGTTCTTGTGATGGTGAATAACACTGCTATGAACATTGGTATACAAGTCTCCATTTGTGCCTCAGTTCTCATTTTCTTGGGGTATATTCCAAGTAGTAGAATAGCTGGGTTGTATGGAGTTTCTATGTTCAGCTTTTTGAGGAAGTGTCAAACTGCATTCCAGAATTGTTTTACCATTTTTACACATCCAGCAACAACGTATAACAGCAAGAACATGGAAACAGCCCAGATATCTAACCACAACTGAATTGATTGAGAAATTACAGTACATTCATACAATGGAATACTATGCAGCACGCAGGAGCAATGTTGTAAATTATTACCTAGCTTGGGAGGGACTGGAGAGCATTATGCTGAATGAACTCAGTCCTACAAGGACAAATATTGTATAAAACTATTATTTTAGAATGAGTATGAGGATCCAAAGGGGAGGAAGGGTAGAAGCAGAGGGATGTGAGGTGGGGCCAGGGAGATTAATCATGGGATTGTGCAATTTGCTGGGTGGGTGGTGAGAGAAATTGGAACAATATGGTCTGAGAAACAATGTATTCTAATTTTGTAAAAAAACTAGTATAATAAAAAAAAAGAAAAAAACAAAATGAAAATTGAGATGTTTGCCTTCAGAACAAGTGAATCAGAACTTCTGGGGGTGTTGCCTAGACATCTGTATTTTAAAAGGTCCCCCAAGTGATTATATAAATATTAAAAACCAGAGATATAAGGGATGTTAGGAAAGCTTCTTGTTTAAAAAAATCATTCCTTGGCCTATTTGTGGGCTCTACATTTTGTCCATAGAAATTAGCATTTCTGGATTTAGAGGTTTCCAGCTTTCCTGGGCAATCAGGATAAAAATATCCTTAGTGCAATGACGGCGTAAGACCAGTTGCTGCTGCGCCGACTTGACTCCTGATGACCCATGTGTGTCTGTGTCACAGCAGAGCCGTCCTCCGGGGGACAGCAGCAGCAGATCTTCCAGAAGTGGATCACCAGGCCTTTCTTCCAAGGTGCCTCCTTAGTTTTTGGTTAGCTGTCCTGTGCATTAATTAACTGTTCATACCTCTAGGGGTGGAAGCATGGGCGAGGTTAATTCCAGTGACGGCTCTCAGAAGGACAGAGACAGAGAGGCAGATAAAGATCCTCAATGTGAGCCACTGGACTGAAATGGCAAAATGTATATGCATAGGCTGAAGGCACAGCAGTGATGGTCCTGATGCCAGGCAGGACCATGATCACACTAATGACAGAGAGTAACTGAAAAGGCTTCCACAGACACGCTTAGTATAGGCTGTGGTGGAGACATCCATCAATCTATAATACATGAGAAACTTTCTTTCTGTGTAAGTATAAATATGTTGTTATGTGCCAATGAGCCACTTGCAACCCTACATAGCCACCATAGTGCCACATGTTAAAAAAAAGGTGAAAGAAAATGTTGATTCTATAAAACTGGCATGAATGTATAAAATATTAATAATCATTGGCATAATAATAAAGAGCCACAGAATAATATAGGACTTATTGGGGGGCATTATTCTAAGTGTTTAAATATATTTGCTTACTTAACCTTGTAATAAACTTGTGAAGTACTCATTATTTTGCTTTAATTTTACAAACAAAGAAACAGTGGCACAATTTTAACAGAGGATAGTTTGAATGTATCAAAGAAGACCAAATGTAAGTAATGAGTACCAAATTTTCAATACAGATGTACACATCTTTTTAAGGTTCATGGTTACATTGCCTGGCTGCCAAATAAAAAGCTGGGTGCTCACATCCATTCAGGCACGTCAGAAAACTTCCTAGCAGTCTATTTTTAAAGAATCAGCCAGTGAAAATGCTATGAAGCACTGTTCTGCCCTGACATTTACGAGGTGGCCATGAAGTAGAATCTGCTTTGAGGCCACTGTTTTGGATTTCTCCCTTTCTTTTTTGTGTGCTTGAGAATATATTGGCTGATATTCTGAAAGACAAAACTGGAGCTAAACGTCTAAATAAGTAAATGTATATGGATACATCATTCATATGCAATTAAATTTACCAAAAGGCAGAAAATGTAATGAGAAGTATAAAGAAAAGATATGGAGAAAAATGAAGGGCCCGTACCAAGCTGCAACTGAAGTGATGAATAAGAGAATAAGTGAATGGATATCAGAAATCAAATAAAATATTCTTGAGTTCCTTGGAAAAAGAAAACTAAGCATTATCTGAGTAATTTTCCACACTGTTACAAATCCATGCAATTGAAGACATTGGAATGTAAAAGGAACTGTAGTAAAAGGAAAATAACGATAAAGTCCTATGTTACCTTACAGGATGCTGAAACCCAAACGCCCCCTTCGATCCAAATGTTTGCTGGTCACTCCCAGGCTCAAGCTGTAAAGACAGACACATACAAGCTCACATGCAGTCAGAAAGGAGAGTTTTTAAGTGGTTTGCATTTTTCAGCGTCGGTACCAATTTTAGAGACTGTTTTGCAACCTGAATTGTATTTGAGAAGCTTCTCTTCCCAATCCTGTTATCTGTTCAATGTCCTGGACACTGTGAGAGATTAAATAATGGAAATGTGAGTATGACATAGTCCTTGAGTTCTAGAGGTTTTACAGTCCAATGAGGAAGAGACAGCCATGTATGCAAATAACTGTGACACAAATGATCATAGAGAAGATGCTGTGTAACTTTCCTAGGACTGTTATAACAAATATCATAAACTAAATGGCTGGTAAGAACAGATATTGTCTCAAGGTTCTGGATGCTGTGAGTCTAAGTTTAGGGTACTGACTGTGTTCGTTCCCTAAGACTTCAGGAAGAGTCTGTTCCTTACTTCCCTCTTAGCTTCTGGGATTCTCAGCAGTTCTTCAACTTGTAACAACAGAATCACATGGTGTCTTCTTTCTGTCTCTGCCTCTGTCTGCTCTCTTTTACAAAAACATTAGTCATAAAGGTTCAGATCTTACTCTCCTCCAATATGACCTTATGTTAATTTCACTGATAACATTTCAAGGACCTTATTTCCAAACAAAGCCAAGATCACAGGAAGAGGGAACATCTCCTTCTGGGAGAAATACATTTCATCCCAGAAGAGATGAGAACAATTTTAAGAGGGGAGAGGAGACGCAGGCAAGGTTCTTGGAGGAGCACAATTCCGGCTCAAAGTTTTTGGCAGCATTGTGGTGCAATCCTGAGACATCTTCTCTGAATGTGACATTCAGAAGAGGTGCATGAAGACACAGAGCACAGGTGTGGGAGTGTGAGGGGCCATGTGTGACTGCAGTATGGAATAAATGAGGCCAGAAACAAGATTTATGAGGGTAGCAGTACTCCAAGGACAGAACAAGACCCAATTACAGGAAGTTATGAACCCCACTATTGAGCTTAGGTTTGATTCTGGACATAGGAACTAGAATATATTAGCAGCTTTTGAGCTGGAGAGCTCAACAATCAAATGTGTATTTCAAAGATAATGGTTGCAGCTAGGAACAGAATATAGACTAGATTGATGATGCAAGGGCTTGAAGGCACCAGTCCTGGCAAGGCATCGTAAATGTTTGAATTGAATTAAGAGCAGTAAGAGAGAGACATTGTTGGTTCAATGGTAAAATGCTCGCCTCTCACACAGGAGGACCCAGGTTTGATTTTGAGCTGATGTACTTCATGCACAGGCATCGTCTGTCCATCAGTAGAGGCTTGGGTCCTGCTATGACACTGAATGAGGAGCTCTGGTGGCATAAGGGCTAAACACCTGGCTGCTAATCAAAAGGTGAGCAGTTTGAGCCCATCCAGTGGCTCCACAGGAGAAAAGGTCTAGCATTCTGCTCCTGCAAAACTCACAGCTTCAGAAATACTAATTGGGCAGTTCTACTCTGACATTTGTTGTTGTTATGTACTATCAGGTTGTAAAAGACTCATAGCTGACCCTCCAGCAGGTTTTCAATGTCTGTAAATCTCATGGGAGGAGATTGCTTATCTTTCTCCCATGGAGCAGCTGGTAGATTCAAACTGCATGCCTTTGGGCTGGCAGCAAACTCCTTACCACCAAGCCACCAGAACTCTCTATTGTGTCATATAGTCTGTCTATTGTATGTAAGAGTCAACCCAATGGCACTGAACAATACTGCTAAACAAGTTTTCAGCAGAACTTTCAGATTAAGAAGAAAGGCCTGGTGATATCGTTGAAAACTCTAGGGATCCCAAGTGTACATACAATCCATGACTATAATCCATAAGGATCATCCGGAACGGAGCAGCATTCCATTCAGTTGAATATAAGGTCAACATAAGTTACGGCTTATTTGCCATCAGTTAATAAGGATGAGGAGCCCTGATAGCTTAGTTGGTTATGTGTAATGCTGCTAACCAGAAGGTCAGTGGTTCAAATCCACCAGGTTCTCTGAAAGAGAAAGACAGGCAGTGTTCTTTTATAAAGATTTAGTGCCTGTAAAACAAGCTTGGAAGCAGGAGTGACATCCACTTTCGTAATAGCTTGCCTCCAGAAACCCTATGAACCTGGAGAAAGTATGAAAGTCACGCAGGTGTTGAGGATTTTTTTTAAAAAAAATAAAAAAAAGAAAGTATTTTATTATTTTTTGTGTGTGTACAATCAAATCAGATCTGACTAGTACAGGAGGAGATCACACCTCCTTTTCCAGCAAAGCATCTGGTGGATTTGAACCACGTACCTCTGGGATTGCAGTGCAGCTTCTTGCCACTAGGCCACCAGAGCTCCCCAAGGACTGTTGTTCACAGGGTCACTATGAGTCACCTACGACTTGACAGCACTTAACAATAACAGACTTGATGCAGCCAGGATTTTTAATTTTTAAAAAGCAGCAATAACAGCAAAGTGAAAAGAAAGACCAATTTCAAGCACAGTAGCATCCAAAAGGTTCAGGAACACAGGAGCAGAGGAAAGGGAAACTGGTCAGAGAACCAGGCAGTAAAGGGCAATATTCATGAAGACAAGGCCTCAGGCAGGGGTCCAGCTTGTCCACACTGACTGCTAACTAGGCGAGCTCAAGGACTGGGGAGGGGGTGTCCCATAAAATCTAACTAAGCCTGAGACCCTTCTGCCTAAACTCTTCAGAGTGCTGAATCTGAACAGAGTTAGCTGGGCTGTAACCAGGCTATGCGAGGACTGAGAGGAACCAGCAATAGTCATTTGATCTTGGGCCTTTCAAAGTTTACTTACTGGGAAAAGTGGGGTACAGAGCAATTTGAATAACGAGGACCACCCTGGGATAAGCTGCAATGGGAAGAAATAGCAGATAAAATCCCCAGGTCCTTAAATGTCCTGGAGTTTAATGAGAATCAAACGAAAAACGGTACTAACCAGAGCATGACCATTTGACTCCTGGGACAGTATGACAATTACAAGCACCATGTCATCTCACCCTGCTAGGGACCTACACATGTGCATGTACATATGGCCACCATGGCATTCTACCCTGCGTGGGACGTGTGTGTGTGTGTGTGTGTGTGTGTGTGTGTGTGTGTGTGTGTGTAAACAACTATTGTGTCATTCTACCCTGCAGGGGACCTACAAGTGAACATATGTCCTTTGTGGGCTCTCTGGCCCACAGAAGCCTTTCAAGACACATTTATCAGTCATATTTTTAGGACATACTTTGGTGAATTACCAATTCCATTTCTGTCAAGTTAATAGTAACCTTCCATTGGGTTTGTGAGGTTATGACTGTTTACAACTGCAGCATGACTGGTGGATTTGAACTTCCATCTTTTCAGTTAACAGCACTCCACATTATACACTATTCCACTCATTACACACTATTCCCCTTCGGCTCTTTTTTTGTGTGAATTTAAGGAAGTAAACTAGGGATCTTTGGAACAGAATAATTTCTGCAATGAAGTGTGGTCTTTGAGGGCTGTAGGAAATAATTTCTGGGTTAAAGCTCTCCATGTAATGATAAAGTATCCCTAATTGCTCAGGTTCACTTCACTACCACAGCTGACCCTGTACTGTGAGAGATGGGTTTATACTCTGTCATAGCACAGGCTCTAATGCAGTGATGCAAATTTCAATGGACATTGAAAGACAATGTTAGGGGTGTAGAGAAAGAATTGCTTCCTGAAAGGGTCTGATTCTAACTTTTGTTGTACTGTAATCATGTTACCCAAAGCCTTCTAATTAGACTCTATGATATAGACCCCTGCCCTCTTTACATACTTTAGAAGTGTTATTCGGTACATGTAAAAGTGATTGAAATAGTAAATGTTTTGTTGCATAAATGTCAACATAGTAAAAACTAAAAGATCTCTTTAAAATCCTTTTTTTGGGGAGCTCTGGTGGCCTAGTGGCAAGGAGCTACACTACAATCCCAGAGGTATGCAATTTGAATCCCCCAAATGTTCTGCTGGAGAAGGAAGGACAATCTCCTCCTGTATCAGTCTGATCTGACTTGATGGTAAACACACACACACATAAAATAAAATTTTTTAAAAAAATCCTTTTCTGATGACCAAGATGTGTAAATTATCATGCTTTTATTTAGAGGCATGAATAGGCTAACTTTATTCTGCAAGTTTTTAAAATAACTGTTTTCTCTTCAGACTTTTAAAAATGTTTGCCTAATAGAAAACTGAAAAGCGAAGAAGGGAATAGAGCACAAAAGTCATCCCCAATAATTCTTCTAATCAATGTATGTCCTGCATCTGAGGTCTGTATATCTATAACTGAGCATACACTTCTCAGTGGCTGCGGTCATACAATATACAGATTCATTATTTTCACCCATCATGAATACTTGCCAATTTAAAGTCTAAAAAACATGAGCATTTTGACTATCAAGAATGCACTAGACTGAATCAACCAGAAAGAAAAAGAAAGAAGAAAAGAGACGCTGCTATTCTGAGTGCCAAAACAAAGTTTGCGTAAAACAAAAACAACAACAGGACTATGGATAAAGATACTGGCAAAAGCTGCAATTAAAATATTCCATTCCCTTATGTTCCCTTCAGCAGCACATGTCTTAAAATTGGAACAATTCAGAACAGATTAGCATGGCTCCTGCACAAGGATGGCATGCAAATTTGTAAAGCATTCCATACTTTAAAAAAAATAATAAAGTATTGCATTCCTTTAATGCTCATTTTAAAGTGAAGTATAAAGCAAGAGAATATAATGCTTCTATTAAGCAGATCTATATTAAAATATTTGCAAGCTATTTCTACTGAATTTAAGTACGTATTCCTACATTACTGATAAGAGATGCACACATATATCAATGGTTATAATCAAAAGGCGGTGTAACAATTCCATGTTCAAGACGTAATTACAGTAATTATAATATATTTACAAATTTCACTCACTAGCACTGCCTAGTAGAGAGCTCTGGTGATTTAGTGGTAAGGAGGTGCAC